CTTCTAGACTTATAAGGAAGAAAAATTATATAAGTAGAGCAGGGCATGCTGCCATTTAGAGGGAATTAGTATACACTAGTGTATGCTAAATTATATGTAATAATCCACTAGAGAACAAAACAGTATATAAGATATCAAAATTGAGAGAAATAATGGGCCAAAAGCAATGAATGTTCCCTGGGTTAAGCATAAGGCCTACCTTCCTACAGCAGTCAGTCAATCATTGTGCTATATTAGGGATGGATACTTCAGGTACTTCAAAATCTACCTCTTATGTACTTTCATTTCACACCCTTGACCATTTGAAAAGGATCAGAGTTACTGTCTATCAGGCAGACAGTAAAGGGCAACAGAATCAGTCTTCATCTCTCTCTCTTTCTGGCGCACGTGCACACACACACAGACACACTAACCCACACTAGTCCACTGTCCACAAGTGTAAATAGCAGTGTCAGGCTATGTCAATGAGAGCAGGATGTCACAAGAATCCCATCACGGATGTGAGCAAGAGAAACATTCAGTTAGGAATCTTCCTGAAAAGTCTACTAGAGAAACTGCAAGGAAAACTGATTTTCCATTTCTGAAATTTTCATGAACATGATGTATCAGTAAGATCTTATTTATATATGCACCAAACTATGTGATTGAACACTGTGGTGGAGAAAAAAGATGCTATCTGAATATGGCTGTGAGAGTTGAACCATAAAGAAGGCTGAGCACTGAAGAATTGATGCTTTCAGATTGTGGTGGTAGAGAAGACTCTTGAGAGTCCCTTGGGCAGCAAGGAGATCAAACCAGTCAATTCTAAAAGAAATCAACTTTGAATATACATTGGAAGGATTGATGCTGAAGTTGAAGTTCCAAAACTTTGGCTACCTGATGCGAAGAGCCAACTCATTAGAAAAGAACCTGGTGCTGGGAAAGATTGAGGGCATGAGAAGAGGGTGACAAAGATGAGATGGTTGGATGTCATCATCAACTCAATGGGCATGAGTTTGAGCAAGCTCTGGGAGATAGTGTAGGAAAGGGAAGCCTGGGGTGCTGCAGTCCTTGGGGCCGCAAAGAGTTAGACATGACTTAGCAACTGAATAACAACAAATATCTGTTGCCTCTCCAATTCCACAGCAAACCCACAGAGGAGGATGTATTTCTCTATACACGATGTAATCATTTTGTGAAATGTTTAAACTGATGGGAATAAATAGGGCAACATACTGAGGATAACACAAAGAAATATCACTTATTTTGATTAAAGCACATTCTAATTTTTGCTGCGCATTTTCTCTGAAATCACAAAGTATCTCACAATCTGCAGCCAAGTTTCAGTTTAGTTTCAAGTTTTCAGTTATTTTTGACCTAAAAGATAAGTTTTTAGAGGATAGAATTAGTTGTCAGGGTTGCTACTTGATATCTGAAAGAGTCAGATTTTCTCAAGAGTCCTGTGAAGCAAACTGTGGTTCACACTCAACTGTGAATTTAAATACCAATCCTTTACCTCTGTCCATCCACTTTTCACCTTAATTATCTCAGAAGGCATTGTTAGAAACTGAAAATTGAGTAGTTTATTTAAAAGACTTTATGGGTTATAGAAATATATGGTATTCTTATCTGTAATAGTACTGAAAGCATAAAACAAGTGTAGGTGTTAATTAGATAGCTGTCAATCATGAAGTGCCAAGTCTCACATTGCTGTTCTTTAGTTGCCAAGTCTTGTCCGACTCTTTCTGTGACCTCCATGCACTGCTGCCTGCCAGGCCCCTCTGTCCATGGGGTTTCCTCGGCAAAAAGACTGCAGAGGGTTGTCTTTCTGTCTCCAGGGGATCTTCCCGACCCAGGGATCAAACCTGCATCTCCTGCATTGGCAGGAGGATTCTTTAAGCTACCTATTAATAATGAAAGGCTCTGCTCATAGGTTGTGTATAAATTATTAACCTTTCAAAGTAAAAAGTGACATGAAGAAATGTCAGGAAAGTGACTTGAGGCCCCTTCTTCTCTGCTTCCTCCTTCCTTCTTCTTCATCTAGCTAACACTAAGATATGGATGACACTTCTTTGTTTATGAATGTTTGCTAAGGAGTCTCTCTTTTTTTTATTTTTAAAAATCATGATTGTTTTTTTCTTCTACCAATTTTATTCAGTTATGACCAAACTCACTGTGTTTTAATACACTCTGAGATTCTAAAATGAACAATGTTTCACTGATGGAGGATTAAGAACAATTGAAGAAGTCAGTAAATCAGTTGGGGGTATGTTTGAATTTAAAAATATATATTTCTGCAATGCAGAAGTATGGCCAATTGGTGGATTATAAACCTCAAACTGAAAGATTATTTCTTTAAACAATTCTGAAAAATAGCTCATGGAACATTTGAATGCCTATGTGACAACTCTGAGATCTATCAGAATGTGATTATAACATTAAAGCTGTATAAATATTATGAAAGAAACAATAAAGCATTTTAGCAATGCAAATAGATTGCACATTTTCTCTATTAAGTTTAGATATACCCTTAAAAAGACGTAGCTATTATAATTTATAGTATAAAATTTTAATATGTGTTTATCTGACATACTTTCCACAATAAGATAAGATTATTGGATTTATTTTAAATAAAACTGGTCATCAGAAGAATATTAGAAGAATAAATCAATAGGAAACACCCTTTACCATGCATGTCACAAGCTAATTCATACATTCCTATTTCCTTAACCACACATTTACAAAAGAACCTTTGGTAGCCTGCAAAATTACTGTACCTAAAACTATTCATAGCCATAAAATGTGCTTATAAAAATGCTGTCCCTTACAACAACTATAGGTACTTCCTTCAGCTACAGTGACAGCAAAACATACATTTGCAAAATAATTGCTCCATCCTAGCTATAATGGCAATGTCTACTACAGACATACTGGCAAAATGCAAACTACTAACAAAAAGACAGAATACAAAAAAGAGTTTGTCAAATTTAATAGAATAATTATCAAGCATAACCCTGCAAAATTAGAATGTAGCCACATTGAAAGAGTAAATACTAAGTCACCTAAAGACAATGATATCAATCAAACATCAATGCTATTATTGCAGAAACAAAGGTATAAATACCCAGAGGATGTGAGAGAAAAATTTATTTTCCACATCCACTGAATCCTACCCTCATACTAGCTTTCATACCTACTGTTATTATTATTTAGTACCATATTATTTGTGAAGCATGTGTAATGTGCATGGAGCTGCATATGTTAAAGTCAAGTCCTCACTGGAGAACCAGAAGTGGATGCATTACCCTTGGAAAGTCAATTTATCTTAGAAAGTAACCCTGGATGCTGAAAACTTTCAGGAGGAATTTTAAGTCCAACAGTGGTTAAAATTTTGAGAATAAAGTTGTGTAGAATTGAGTACCCAGGATATAATAAACAATAGTACTGTGTGTCAATGTACAAGGTTGAATTGAATTGACTCATTGACTTACCTGGCATGTTGCGTTGGTCAATGACTATACATAGTGGATAATGACTAAAATGACTATACTCACCAGATATGTGACAATCACTATCTAAAACCTTTCCAGGAATAAAAAAATGTCCTCATTTGAAGGACATATAAGATTAAAAAATAGTTTATTAATTTCTGTATGTATTTTTGTATTAATTTCTATATTCTTTTACAAGCAAAAGATATCCTATTGTAATTCCAGATAGTGGATGATACCAATACTCTCCAATAACCGTTTGCTATTCTTAAAAGTGGGGAAAAAAGTTAGATTGGTTATCATTTTGTCCTCTGGAAATAAGAAACACTGATGATTTTCATTAGTCCAATATTATAGTGATTTAATCTAATAATTAGAATATATGCTAAAATGCCCAGAAGCATTTCAATGTTCTCTATTAACTGTTCACTGGTAATAAAATTATTTATCTTTTGAGAAACCAAAGACAAATTTTGACATATTCACCAACACAGTAATTGCCTACTATATTTTCCTAAGAGCCATCAGAAGTATTATAATTCACTTTCTCAAGCAAAATGTGCACACCTTTGTTACAAACAGAAAATAATTGCTTTTCTAAATTTGACTATGGAAACACAAAGTGTGTTTTATGTACTAAGGTGGTATCCTCTCTTTCAAAATCTCCCTTGTGAACGAAGAAAGTAACATAGACATGTATACACTGTCAAGTGCAGAACAGATAGCTGGTGGGAAGCTGCTGTATAACACAGGGAGCCAGCCTGGAGCTCTGTGATGATCTAGAAGGGTAGGCTGGGGTTGGGGGCGGGAGGCTCAAGAGGGAGGTGATATATGCAAAACTGTGGTGATTTGCATTGCTGCGTGGCATAAACCAACACAACACCTTGTAAAGCAATTTTCCTCCCATTATAAAATAAAAATAAAAACTGCAAAAAGAATTGTCCCTTGGTTTCATTCTTACAAAGCTAATATCCTTCAAAGGGTGTTCTAAAATTTGGGGCTTCAAGCTCAAGTTATATAAAAAAGCAACTGGGACTTAACAGAGAGAGAAAAGGAATCACATACCAGAAAGAAACCTAAGCAACATTAGTTAGCTTTTTATTGGAGAGACTTTTTGAATGGTTATCAAAATGTATTCCTTTAACCTAATGAATATTTATCTCATTTCATGGGCCTAATAATGCCTTACTTAAGACTTTTGAGCAAAAGACTAAAGGTAACAGGTTTTTGTTTCTTTTGTATCAACTCCTTTCCAATACTGAACAGGTTATTTGGAAGCCAGAAAGGCCAGATAAGTTTCAAAAAGGGTTATTTAGGGGTGGGAGTATGGAAGCAGAGCTGGTTCATGGCAATATTAAAACAAGTGGACTAATCTTGCAAAACGCTTAAGACAACCAATGACTCAGGACCAAAAGACCCTACAAACTAGCCATATAATAGCATCACTGTCAAAAGAGCAATGTACATGTACAAACACACACTAATTTTATAAAAACAGTTTTAGAGATAAAATGGAAAAAAACAACTTACTGAAAAGTCTTCAAAGATTTTCTTGAGTTCTTCGTGACCATGCCTTTCAGCAATATGTGCTGGATCTGAACCTTCCGAATTTTTTATCTTAGATGCCCTGGTTGCTCCTGAACATTGAAGCAAATGAACAGCCAAGTTCTTTAACCCAAATTTTGCTGCACAGTGGAGAAGAGTTGGAAGTTCTTTGAAATAAGAATCTGAAATAAGCAAAACAGAATAATTTTTTTCATCATATTTGGAACCATATAAGAAAAAGTCAAACACAATCTATTCTTAAAAATAATTCCCACAAAGCACTGATGACTTTTAGGGTGATTTTGCAAATAAGAAACCATCAGTGTTTTTAGCAGTGTAGACTCTACCCTTTCTATTCCTCATCTTAAATCAAGCATACATTAATATTCTCACTAGCATTAGTGCCTCTCCCTTACTTGTGTGGTAAGTTTAATATAGAAAGGCATATCAATCTCAAACGTAAAACAAAACAAAAACATTTCATTGTAAAAACTCATTTTGAATGTATTTCAGTATTAACCAGATACTTAAATAACAAATAAATTCCTCTATAAGATCTTTTTGGTGTTTTATACTTCCATGCCTACTTTGTTTCCTTTTGAAGTTGAAATGAACACGAAATTCCAGGAAGGGTTATGTTAGATTTCTGTGTGAGTTTTTTCTTTCAAAAAGGAACTGCAACAGCAAATACAGGTAGGCACTTTTATAAAAATCTTCAGTATGGAATTTTTCATTAGGATTTTATAGGTTTCATGTCAATGTTTTGGAGTTCGAATTTCTTAATTAAATATTAGCTATTAGTTAGAAGACATGATGTATTAACTATACATAACTATAAAATGATGAATGCAAACAGCTACCCCAATGATAACACACACACATACACAAACTGATGAGTGATAGTTTATTATTATTCTATACTTTCACACCCTTGCTAGAAAAACTGTGTTACAGAAATTACACATCACCTCACTTTAATTGCTGTGGCATTATTAGAAGAAAGCAATGTGAAGATTTATAGTAACAGAAACAAAACCATCAAAGCAGAAGTCAATTTTCTTTCAGCAAAATTCTGAAGTAGTGAAAACAGCCACCTCATAATGTTTTGGAAAATTGTGAATCTGGCCTCATTTATCTCTTTGCTATTTTGTAAACCAAAAAAAAAAAACCAAAAGGAAGAGACAGGGGATCTAAACTTGGTGCTTTCAATTCACTTGGGTGTGTGGGTGTTTGAGGGCTAAATAAATTATTTAGTTTATTGGTTTGTATGTTTAAACAGGAAACAGAACAAAAGTCTTTAGGACATGTTAAAGACTCTGGTAAGGAAATATTTTATCCTTCAAAATGTGTTAGAACTAAATGGCTGTAGGTAGATCTATGATTGAATTTCAAAGACAAAAGCACTGGTCCCTCCTTATATGGTGTGCAGTGAGTAAAAACTTATCAAGTGTTTTATAAAGATGAGCTTATAATAGGTGAAACTGTTCAAGGTAGGTAGCAATTTTCAAACTAAAAAGAATGTATTTTCTTAAAAAGGAATTAAGATGCAAATTTCTATTTATTTCCATTTAAATAAGCTATAAAATAATTTTCTGCTATAACTAAACAGGAGATGGCAAGAGTGAACGTTGACATTCTAAGAATCAGCTAACTAAGATGGACTGGAATGGGTGAATTTAACTCAGATGACCATTATATATACTACTGTGGGCAGGAATCCCTTAGAAGAATTGGAGTAGCCATCATGGTCAACAAAACAGTCCGAAATGCAGTACTTGGATGCAATCTCAAAAATGACAGAACGATCTCTGTTCATTTCCAAGGCAAACCATTCAGTATCACAGTAATCCAAGCCTATGCCCCAACCAGTAACGCTGAAGAAGCTGAAGTTGAATGGTTCTATGAAGACCTACAAGACCTTTTAGAACTAACACTCAAAATAGATGTCCTTTTTATTATAGGGGGCTGGAATGCAAAAGTAGGAAGTCAGGAAACACCTGGAGCAACAGGCAAATTTGGCGTTGGAGTATGGAATGAAGCAGGGCAAAGGCTAATAGAGTTTTGCCAAGAGAATGCACTGGTCATAGAAAAAAACACCCTCTTCCAACAACACAAGAGAAGATTCTACACATGGACATCACCAGATGGTCAAAACCAAAATCAGATTGATTATATTCTTTGCAGCCAAAGATGGAGAAGCTCTATACAGTGAACAAAAACAAGACCAGGAGCTGACTGTGGCTCGGATCATGAACTCCTTATTGCCAAATTCAGACTTAAATTGAAGAAAGTAGAGAAAAGCACTAGACCATTCAGGTATGACCTAAATCAGATCCCTTATACAGTGGAAGTGAGAGGTAGATTTAAGGGACTAGATCTGATAGACAGAGTGCCTGATGAACTATGGATAGACGTTTGTGACATTGTACAGGGGACAGGGATCAAGACCATCCCCAAGAAAAAGAAATGCAAAAAAGCACAATGGCTGTCTGAGGAGGCCTTACAAAGAGCTGTGAAAAGAAGAGAGGTGAAAAGCAAAGGAGAAAAGGAAAGATATACCCATTTGAATGCAGAGTTCCAAAGAATAGCAAGGAGAGATAAGAAAGCCTTCCTCAGGGATCAATGCAAAGAAATAGAGGAAAACAGTAGAACAGGAAGGACAAGAGATCTCTTCAGGAAAATGAAAGATACCAAGGGAACATTTCATGCAAAGATGGGTTCGATAAAGGACAGAAATGGTATGGCCCTAACAGGAGCAGAAGATATTAAGAAGAGGTGGCAAGAAAACACAGGACTATACAAAAAAGATCTTCACGACCCAGATAATCACAATAGTGTGGTCACTCACCTAGAGCCAGACATCCTGGAATGTGAAGCCAAGTAGGCCTTAGGAAGTATCACTATGAACAAAGCTAGTGGAGGTGATGGAATTCCAGTTGAGCTATTTCAAATCCTAAAGGATGATGCTGTGAAAGTGCTGCACACAATATGTCAGCAAATTTGGAAAACTCAGCAGTGGCCATAGGACTAGAAAAGGTCAGTTTTCATTCCAATTCCAAAGAAAGGCAATCCCAAATAATGCTCAAACTACCGCACAATTGCACTCATCTAGCACTCTAGTAAACTAATGCTTAAAATTCTCCAAGCCAGGCTTCAGCAATATGTAAACCATGAACTTCCAGATGTTCAAGCTGGTTTTAGAAAAGACAGAGGAGCCAGAGATCAAATTGTCAACATCCGCTGGATCAGCAAAAAAGCAAGAGAGTTCCAGAAAAACATCTATTTCTGCGTTATTAACTATGCCAAAAGCCTTTGACTGTGTGGATCACAACAAACTGTGGAAAATTCTTCAAGAGATGGGAATACCAGACCACATGATCTGCCTCTTGAGAAACCTTTATGCAGGTCGATAAGTAATAGTTAGAACTGGACGTGGAACAACAGACTGGTTCCAAATAGGAAAACGAGTACATCAAGGCTGTATATTGTCACCCTGCTTATTTAACTTATATGCAGAGTACATCATGTGAAACGCTGGGCTGGAAGAAGCACAAGCTGGAATCAAGACTGCCGGGAGAAATATCAATAACCTCAGATATACAGATGACACCACCCTTATGGCAGAAAGTGAAGAGAAACTAAAAAGCCTCTTAATGAAAGTGAAGGAGGAGAGTGAAAAAGTTGGCTTAAAGCTCAACATTCAGAAAACTAAGATCATGGCATCTGGTCCCATCACTTCATGGGAAATAGACGGGGAAACAGTGGAAACAGTGGCTGACTTTATTTTTCTGGGCTCCAAAATCACTGCAGATGGTGACTGCAGCCATGAAATTAAAAGACGCTTACTCCTTGAAAGGAAGTATGACCAACCTAGATAGCGTATTTAAATGCAGAGACATTACTTTGTCAACAAAGGTCCATCTAGTCAAGACTATGGTTTTTCCAGTAGTCATGTATGGATGTGAGAGTTGGACTACAAAGAAAGTTGAGCGCTGAAGACTTGATGCTTTTGAACTGTGGTGTTGGAGAGGACTCTTGAGAGTCCCTTGGACTGCAAGGAGATCCAATCAGTTCATCCTAAAGGAGATCAGTCCTGGGTGTTCATTGGAAGGACTGATGCTGAAGCTGAAACTCCAGTACTTTGGCCACCTCTTGCAAAGAGTTGACTCATTGGAAAAGACCCTGATGCTGGGAGGGATTGGGGGCAGGAGGAGAAGGGGATGACAGAGGATGAGATGGCTGGATGGCATCACCGACTTGATGGACATGGTTTTGGGTAAACTCCAGGAGTTGGTGGACAGGGAGGCCTGGTGTGCTGCGATTCATGGGATTGCAAAGAGTTGGAAAAGACTGAATAATTGAACTGAACTGATAATTAAACCAAACCAAAGTTAGTAAAGAAAAATATTTTCAAGATGTCAGATTTTTACATGCCCTTGGTCATCTTTCTCTGTTATACCATCATCACTTGCCAGTCGCTGCCTTACACATTGTTCCTGCACATTGCTATTCTGGTATACTTTTGAATCACAGTTATTGCAGAACAAAATATTATTTTCATTAAATAAGTGTTTAGTCAGTATACAAATACAGTCACCTATAGCCTGTTTGTAAATTTTTCAAGTTTAAGGTGATATAGTATTAGAAACAACTACAATAAACTTCATTAAGAATCTCTCTTTTTATACACCAGGAAGAATAAAAAAGACAGTGACCAAGCAGACATGGTTTTTCAGGGCTCATTTCTTGACAGTTTTGATATTCTGAACCATGTTTTCTGGCTCATAAAAGGAAGAAGTTCTGCTGATTTAAGATTATGCTGCATATACTAAATGGGACTACAGGCTTGTAGGTTGGTTCCTTTATTTTCCATTTCTTTATTTCATTTTTAGTTGTAGCCGAAAGCCCACTAACCTACTAGAAGGCTTTGTGAAGTTATAGACATGAAAAAGCTTTGGAAGTCATCTTTCCAGTTTACTACCCAGCAAGAGAATTGCCTTCCTACAGTCTATAAGAGATAATCTTCCATGTACTGCCTGCATAGCCCTAATGATCGAGTGTTTTTTACTTCCTAAGGCACCTGTTTCTTGATTAGACAACACTGATCATTAGACATTTTTACTTCTGTTGAGGTGAAATGCATTTCCTCTAAATTACATGATCATCATATCCCTTGAGCTAT